AAACAACTGCAATCCCATCATCTGTATCTGACCGACTTTTTGTTGATAGTGTTATGACACCACACTTCATGGAGGATATTAATTTTTCAATGAAGGAGCTTCATTCGAGCCAACGAGAGGTCTCCATCATCTTTTACATGCAAAAGATATTTCCAGGTACTGAGATAGTGAATATATTCGTTACGTTGTAGGCTATCCGTTTAGGTTCATCTCTGAACAATTGCCTCTCATATTTCTCAGATGAGTGGAAAAACTTCTTGGAGCGCATGGGTTGTGAAAACTTGGATGGATTGAAAGAGGAAAGCAAGGAGGAAGAGCTTAGGAATTGGGCTTCCTACCGGGGCCAAACGCTAAGCAGAACAGGTGAATATAAGATCTGACATAATCTAAATCCATCAGATCAGTTGATCATTTTAATAACCTCCTTTTTGATGTATATGGTTGTAACAGTTCGAGGAATGATGTACTATAGAGAAGCCTTAAAATTACAAGCATTCCTCGACGTGGCTGAAGATGAAGGTTTGTATTCTGAATCTCTGATGCAAATCTCATTGTAGTTTTTTATTAGACGATTTCAGTAAGCACTTGTATGCCATCTGGCCTATTCTCTTCTTCCAGATATTCTTGAAGGTTATGACGCCGTTGAAAGTAGAAATCACCTGTTATCTGCTCAGCTAGATGCATTAGCAGACATGAAATTCACATATGTACTTACTTGTCAATTGTTTGGATCACAAAAAGCTTCTGGAGATCCACGTGCAAAAGACATTATTGACTTGATGAAAAGGTAATCTGCTACCTGGGAAAGAAAAAAAATTATTGCAGATGTACGGAACTTTTACAGTAAAATTTTAGAAGTCATATGACTCTAGAAATTTTTTCTTGAAGACACCCATCTCTCCGCGTTGCTTACGTTGAGGAGAAAGAAGAGATACGTGGAAAAAAGCCTCAGAAAGTTTATTCTTCTGTATTGGTTAAAGCTGTCAATGATTTTGATCAGGTATGTACAAAAATTATATGGATTAGTATGCCAAATTGGATATTCATGTCAAGCAATTTAAGTAAAGTTCAAATTAGTTTTTATCATATCAACCGTTCAATGCATCGTCCCCAAGTTTTCTTTCATCATATGTGCTGTGATCATTCATAGGAAATATATCGCATAAAGCTTCCTGGTCCACCAACTATTGGAGAAGGGAAGCCCGAAAACCAGAATCACGGGATAATTTTCACTCGTGGTGAAGCTCTCCAGACTATTGATATGAACCAAGTAGGTTCCTTGTCCAGTACCTAAGGATTAGTCATTTTCTTGTTTGTTTCTCTTATACTATCTGCCTTTATAGGATAGTTATCTGGAAGAAGCATTCAAAATGAGAAACGTTCTGCAAGAATTTCTTCAGAACCAAGGACGGAGACCTCCTACGCTACTTGGTTTGAGGGAACACATATTTACAGGAAGGTCAGCTCCTCTAATCCCCTAAACTTCGATTTTGACATCATATGAGATGTGAAATGCATCACTAGCAAATGTATTTCACCTGAGTTTTTATAAACTAATATGTTATTCAGACATTCTTGAACTGTTAAGTCGATTCTTTTTTTTTTCTTTTCTTGCAGTGTTTCTTCTCTTGCTTGGTTCATGTCGTATCAAGAGACAAGCTTCGTCACCATTGGTCAAAGGCTTCTTGCTAATCCCCTCAAGTAACAGATATCTTATTTCCTAAGCTCATTTTTTAATGACATCGAACACACGTGCGCTTGCTTCTGTATCTGTTGTGCGCTATACTTATACATTCTCATTCCTGTTCTCGATAAACAGAGTACGGTTCCATTATGGACATCCCGATGTATTTGACAGACTATTTCACATCACAAGAGGCGGCATAAGCAAAGCATCAAAAACAATTAACCTAAGCGAGGATGTTTTTGCTGGTAAGATTTAGTGATGTTAAAAATCACATTCCTATATTGTTGATATTTCTTCAAGCTGCTTACATAAGATATCATGTAGGATTTAACTGCACTTTACGACGCGGATGTATAACTTATCACGAGTACATGCAAGTTGGCAAGGGGCGTGATGTAAGTCTGAACCAGATATCAAAGTTCGAAGCTAAGGTTGCTAACGGAAACAGTGAACAGACTATAAGCCGTGACATATACCACCTTGGACGCCAGTTTGATTTCTTCCGGATGCTATCATGTTATTTCACAACCATTGGGTTTTACTTTAGTAGCCTGGTAATTCGTTTGAACCCCCAAACAATTTGTTCTTGCTTATTTATTTCTGTTTGAAGTGATTAATCTAAAATTCTGCTATAAAACTTCTCAGATGTCAGTTATTGGAATATACGTCTTCCTTTACGGACAGTTATACCTTGTCCTCAGTGGCTTGGAAAGAGTGATTATAGTTGAAGCGAGACTGCAGAACATACAATCCTTGGAAACGGCTCTTGCATCGCAGTCATTTATACAGCTAGGCCTACTAACAGGATTACCAATGGTGATGGAAATTGGGCTAGAGAAGGGTTTCCTTAACGCATTCAAAGATTTTGTCCTGATGCAGTTGCAGCTGGCTTCTGTTTTCTTCACCTTCTCCTTCGGCACGAAGATACATTATTATGGCCGAACAATTCTGCATGGTGGTGCTAAATACAGACCCACTGGGCGTAAGGTGGTTGTGTTCCATACTAGCTTCACTGAGAACTACAGGTCATATTCAAGAAGCCACTTTGTGAAAGGATTCGAGTTGTTGCTCCTGTTGATTGTTTACGATTTATTTAGGCGGTCTTATCAGAGCAGCATGGCGTATGTATTAATCACTTATTCGATTTGGTTCATGTCAATCACTTGGTTGTTTGCTCCATTTCTTTTTAATCCCTCCGGATTCAGTTGGGAGAAGATAGTAGACGACTGGAAAGATTGGAACAAGTGGATCAGGCAGCAGGGTGGTATTGGAGTTCAACAAGACAAAAGTTGGCAGTCTTGGTGGATGGATGAGCAAGACCATCTTCGCCGTTCAGGGATGACTTCTAGGTTGCTTGAAATACTCCTTTCCGTTCGGTTTTTCCTGTATCAGTATGGTCTGGTCTACCACCTTGACATCTCCCAGAATAGCATGAATTTTCTCGTATATTTGCTTTCATGGATTGTGATCCTCGCAGTTTTCTTGTTAGTAAAGGTAAACCTTATAATCTCCTTCTATTAGAAACTATGCTTATATCTAAGATGCCAACGAAGAAAAAAATCTGTTTGGTCCCTTCTCTTTTCTTTTTGTCTGAGAAATCTGGATTTCGGAATGTCTTTTCGTTTGACATTTACTCAAATTATCTACTTGCCTTCATTCTTTTTGTGACCAATTAATTTCAGAAATTTTCTGACCTAATGCAGTAGCAATGAACATGTGTGTCTAATATCGAGTGCTTTCTTCAAATTGATCATAGGTTACATGAAAAAATAGATCGTCGGTTCCCTTGTATAGCTTTTTGCATGAGTCACTAACACGATCACCTCATCATTCTTCGCAGGCAGTGAATCTCGGAAGGAAACAGTTCAGCGCTAATTATCACCTCGTGTTTAGGCTGTTCAAGGCATTCCTCTTCTTGGGTGTTCTTGCTGTCATACTTGCTCTCTATTTTATATGCAAACTCTCCTGGAAGGACTTAGTCGTCTGCTGTCTAGCATTTTTTCCGACAGGCTGGGGTTTGATATTGGTAAGTTTACGATGACACAGATCCTTTTCCTTTCGGTCTGCATTAGTTCTTTTTCGCTGATAACTTTGTTGGTTCAGTTTGCACAAGCTGTGAGGCCCCTGATAGAGAATACTGGATTCTGGGAATTCACCAGAGTACTCGCCAAGACTTATGACTACGGAATGGGTGTTGCTCTCTTTGCACCTATCGCGGTCTTTTCATGGCTTCCGATTATATCAGCATTCCAGACTCGTTTCCTGTTCAACGAGGCGTTCAACAGGCACTTACAGATCCAACCAATTCTTGCAGGGAAGAAGAAGAACAGATGATTTTAGAAGCTGGCCCTAATTATTCATAGTATATATTGTATAGAGTCATATTATATTGTCAAATCTTATAGGTTTTGGAAATGTGATCACACTGGCACAAAATGGTTTCATATGTTAAAGATAAGGAAAGAAAACATAGTCGATTTAGAAACTTTTGTAAATTATAATGGATCAATAAAATTCTTGGTGACAAATTCAGAAAAGAAGGGAGCGTGCTTTTCTAGTTTTGCCTCAAATGATTCAAATCTTTTCTAGCATGGTTGTAACTTTATGGGGTTCTAGTACATAAAAAGTATGAACCCTCCCCAAGCATTAGGGTGCATTTCAAATTGGTACCGATCTTATAAGACCCTACAAATTCTTTCGCAAACTCAGGAAAACCCTACACATTGTTAATCAGATTGTCAAACCCGAATTGATGACTCATTAATCAGATTGTCAGACTTGAAGTTAATTGATGACTCGTTAACCCCGATTGTCATACTTGAAGTTAATTGATGATGTGACAATTTCAATATGAATTTATTCCCATGAAGAATGGGTGGTCGGTAAAAAGTTTCTTGCTTAAAGTCTAGGAAGCTGAATTTTTTCCTTCTCACTTTCTGTTTAATTTTTTCTGTTCATCTTTTTTAAATCACTGAATATAATAGCTTAAAACATGGGAGTGTTAGAGAATTAAGAGTTGATAAAAGGAAAGTGGCGGCTGAGCCTAATAGCGTGGACTTGTAATTAAGTAGGGCATTAAAGTAATTGATTGTCGGCATGAAGCCTTAACTAGTTGAGATTATGATGGTCTTGGTCTATTCACTTTTGGTGAAATCACATAAAGTGTGCCCTTAAGCCCTCGGGTAGTAGGGTTCACCATCTATCATGGTTGGGTAGCTAATTACTTCGTAAAAGAAGATACCAAGGTGATGGGGTCTCAAGCCAATTATCCAATTATAAGACCAAATCAACTTAAAACATGTGACCTCGTGTCATTAGTTTGAGATGTTGTGTTTGGATAGTGTAGTTAAAATCCTCCATATTATGTCCTCTAACCTCAAACAACCAAAACCCCAGTATGAACTTCCCACAAACCTCATTAGCATTCCACACCTGAGCAGCCAACATGATTCCACGTTCTACAAAGGCACTTTTCAAAAAGCCAATCTTTTTCCAATCAACTCAATCCTGCACCTTCATCATCAAAAACCCATCAAATTTCTCCACACACCCATCATCTTCCCCACCCGAAATCCCCAAAAAGCTGCACCACAAAGACTGGTTATCCGCCAACGAAGTCCTGCAAGTCTTCACCTCCGTCAGAGACCCCAATTCAATCCTCACGGCACTCGATCACTATTCCAACCGCAAGGACTACAAACCCAATGAAGCTCTCTACACTTTGATCATCGCCAAGCTCGCCGAGGCCCGCCTCTTCGACGCAATTGACTCCGTCATGGCCCGAATCAAAGCCGAAAGCAAATGCCGATTGTCCGACGACTTTTTCCGGTCCGTTATCAAGGCTTACGGCAATGTGGGTGGTTTTATAAACAGGGCGATTCACACCCTTTACGATATGCCCAGATATGGCTGCTGGCCTTCTGTGAAGACGTTCAATTTCGTGCTGCATTTGCTGGTTTCGACGAAGATGTTCGAAGTCGTTCATGAGGTGTTCCTGGAGGCTTCCAGGTTGGGGATTGAGATTGATGCGTGTTCATTGAATATAATCATCAAAGGGTTGTGTGAGTTTGGGAAATTGGATGGTGCACTCCAGGTGCTCGACGAATTTCCTAAGCAGAGGTGTGAGCCGAACGCGCTGACCTTTTCGACGCTTATGCATGGTTTGTGCGTCAACGGGAAGGTGGATGAGGCTTTCGGGTTGTTGAAGAGGATGGAAGATGAGGGCATTGACCCGGATACCATCACATTTAATATATTGATAGCGGGGCTTAGGAAGCAAGGGAGATTCCACGAGGGGATTAAGCTGTTGGAGGAAATGAAGTTTAAGGGGTGTGATCCGAATCCAGGGTCTTATCAGGAGGTTTTGTATTGTTTCCTTGATGCACAGAGGTTTCTTGAGGCCAAAGGGTTTATGAGTTGGATGATTTCAAAGGGTGTTGGTCCGAGTTTTGTGTCGTACAAGGCGTTGATTCATGGGCTGTGCAAAGAAAATCTGGTGCAGGATGTGGAATGGGTTTTGAAGCAGATGATACGACAAGGTTTTCTTCCGAAGATGGGGATGTGGAGGCAGATTCTCAAAAGTATGTTTGCAGAGAAGAGCAGCCATTGCTGTGCTTCGTTTGAAGAAATTGTAGCTAGTTGAATCATACAAAATGGATGATTGTATGGTGATGTTTCTCACAGATTAGTCCTTCCAAACAATTTTGAGGTCATGTAAATTGAAAGGCACTCTTCCTATATTCCGGCCCAGCTTGAGACTCGAATTTATGAAACGAAAGGAGCTGAAGATTTTTCGTCTGATAAAATGATCTCGGTACATTGAGTAATCACGGACCGTTGACACTCCGGCGTCCTGCTGAAGCTGTGCAAGGAAATACCTAACAAACTGATGGCGACCGGAATGAGGATAATGTTGGATCGATGGAATTATGGAAGTCGAACTTGTTTAATCAACTTCAGTTATTGGAGTTTTCAAAGTTGTAATTTTATTGCCTAAACCCTATACAAATATGTCCCCTTTCTCTATGCTTTTGTGGCTTACACCACTGAATGTGCTACAATACGCTGCTAACCCGAAGGGTTCTTTATGGCGAAAAGGGGCAAGTAATCTTCGACGTCCCCAAACTTGTAACACGGTAATTGCAATCAAGAACTTATGACTACACAAAAAGATATTGGTTCCATGATCGAACCACCATCTCACAAATGGAACTATATGCAAATTGGTTTCGACCATGAATATCGATGTAATATATATTAGTGTCTACAGAAAACAAAAACAAACGAGTCAAAAAAACAAGCACCCTCTAGCATGGCACTGCCAAAAGAGAATCCGGTGACGGAAAAACACTCCTAGAATACGCCCCCAATGCTACCGGCTATTTTTCCTTTTCCACTTTTCACCTTGATTACTATTTTCCCCTCTTCCCCGGAAATGATAGAAAATAAACCAACGAAGCATTGGCAATATATCAGAACAGAATCAACCTAGCATGGCGTACCTACGAATGCAAAAGGGAACCCCTCACGGCTTGTGAAACTACGTTGCCGACTGCAGAGTTAGCAAGTCCGCCATGAGAGAGGTAAATAAGGATGAGAATGTAAAGAACCCTACTTCCGAAGCCACGAGGGACTGTTAATATAAGAAAGATTTAAATCCAGCCTTCATCGTTGGACCTTCAGCATCAACTGCAGTGTCGCTTGCAACCATAACTGCTAACATATCAACTATTTGGGCAGAGGATCATCATCAGAAGAGTTGTAATATTCTAACATTTCTCTTTCTTTCACTACCGAAGAATCACTTCGAGACTTTGCAAAATCTTTTCGATCAGATTTTTCATTACGCTTGAAGAAACTTTTCATCTCTCTCAACTTGCCCTTTCCCGGGGTACCTGAACCACTCCCTCCTGAAGAAGTGAAATCCTTTTCTTCCGGAACCTTACAAGAAAGAGGCCCAGAAAGGTCATCTTCCACAACAAATTTCACCCCACTTTCATTGTCATGAACTCCTCTAAGATTAATACTTTGAGAACGAGCGGTCTCTTTAAAGCTGCTTGTACTCGGCTCCTTCTTGGAACTCCTGTGGAGCATCGAACATAACTTATTTAGTCCCTTGCGAACTCCTTTCATGTGCCGTTTCGCATCAGGATTTTTATCCATGCCTCTGTCGTCATTGTTTTGGGAGCCAGATGTGACTGAATTACGGCTGTTAGTATCATTTAGAATCTCGGTATCAAGGAGTCGGCTCCTTCCTTTTCTACTTTCCCAAGTTTGTAAAACTTTACTTCCTGGATGATGGACCCATATACCAGTCTCTTTTTGCCCTTCAACATCAATCGGCTCAAAGTTATCTGCCAACCTGTTAGACTTCCCGGATGATATAGATGAGAAGGAACTTTTATTAGCATCACTGGCAAATGAATTTCTTTTATCTTCCAAATCTACCGTTTCCTGAACTTCTGACTGCTCAGGTCCCTGCATATGCAAGTGGCTCAAATCAAACTCTTGAATGCATACTTGAGCATCTTTGGTAAGACTTGCACATATGCAGCAACTACAACTACGAATCTCTAATCTCTTTATTTTCAACTCATAATAGACCTGATCGATAGAGTGCGGTTGAGGTGAAGTAAAAAGGTACCTTCACATTGTCTTCAAGAACAGTTATTGCAAGATGCAGCCTCCCGGTTTTAATATTCTGAAGAGGCACCCACATGTCATGTCTCTGGCCGTCTCTAAGATCACCAATGTTAATCGAGCAGTCACTGGAGATATAGAATAAGAGTAAGTTAGTCCTGCATGTAAGAAAGCACTTATAAAACAATTTCAGTGGAAACTAAGGGCATAAAAGGTGATAAACGACACTTGAAATAAGCTGAAAGCATACTTCTGTAACGAATTTGAATAAATCTAGGCACAGAAGGACATATTACACTAAAAAGTTCAGAAACACACCCAAGGGCATCATCAACGAATCGGTCCTTGTCACAAAGTTCAATAGCAAGCACATTAGGTGAATCCCATGTAATAATGGGGATCTTGAACTCCTCATGCCATTTTGGAGACAGTGTTTTCTTTTGAATCTTAGTCTTGAACCGGTAAAGGCCCAATTGACCCTTAACATAAGGGTCGGAAAATCCTGAAAGAAAGGCTCTATCCGTTAAATATAAATTTAAAACATGCTGTGGAAACTTAACACCAATGTACTAGCAAAGAGAGACTGACCATTTAAATCAGCGGCTTTCACGTCAGATGCTTCAATAACTTCTACTTTGGCAAGAGCAAGAGGCTCCTTCTCATTCACAGAGAACCAACTTTCTGTCAATGAAATGAGCATCTACTATCAACCGAAACATTTTAAAAATACATTTTGAACAACCAGCATATTAGGCTGCAAAGATAAGTACCTTGCTTTGGGGAAACAAATTTCTCCATGTCAACAACCAGCATATTAGGCTGCAAAGATAAGTAATAATTTGATTTAAAGGTCTAATATTCATTCCAATAAGTAATAATTTGATTTAAAGGTCTAATATTCATTCCAATAGGGGCAAGATGTAAAGGTTGTTTACGGAGGAGTCCAAAATCCATACCTCAACAAGTGTCTGCTCAAAGGCAACTGACAGAAGCTTCTCCTGGCAGACAAAATCACAAAGAGCAAGTCAGAGAGAAAGATACATAGACGGAGAGCGAGAAATGGAGAGAGTTAAGAATTTATTCTGCTTCAATATGATAAAAGTTACCAGCCATCCAGCAATCCCAGGGAGTACTGTAACGTCAAGTCCATGAGTGAAAATAGGTTTAACAGTCATCTGAAAATATGGAGGCTCAACGAAGCATAGCCGCACGCGGCCAAGAAATGGCCACCTGCGAAGAAACTTCACTCCAATCAAGACCTTCAAAAGAAAAATTCAGCTTGATCAGAACGCATAAGTAGTTTGTACATGCCATTGTGGACATCCTATTTCCCATGTAAATAAAGTATGAAAATAGCTTACAGATACACTTATGTTACACTAGCTGAACCAACTCAACAAGGTGAAATAGAGTACCTAGCATAAATAACAGGAGCTACAGTGCAACATAAAATGGAAAATTGTTCATCAATTTTAAATTTCAGATGTCTACGACACACGACTAGCTTATAAGTAGTCCCATCTAGACCTACAGTTAACAGTTATTCAAGTACATACCCTTCCTTCAACATGCATGCCTGTAATATTCAACTTTGCCCACATCCCAAAACCTAGTCTTTTCCTTAACTTCACAGCAAGTATTGCGATCATATCATCAGCTGTAAGAAAATTCAATCCCAACTCCAGAACCTGCATCAAGTTACAATTTAGTATCTGAATTTGGGACCTGCTGCGACGAAGGGTGCATGAAAAGTATTGATTGAACATTCCGGAGAATATAAACAATACCAGGTGGTCATCATCAGTAGACTGGCGAACCACTCTCATATCTGTGAGTATAGGTGCATTTCTTCCCAAGTAAAGGTGCTGAACTACTGCTTGCTTCTGTAAACATATTTAGATCATCGTCAATAACTGAAAAAAGTATCAATATATAACCACCAGATAACAAGATGACACTATCGAATTCAGAAAAAAGAAGACATGTTTCACAAAAACTATACCTGCAAAAGATTGAAATATTGGACATCACATAATTCACTTTATAATTTTGGATGCCCTTCAATAAGAAAATGAAAAACAATAACATAGTTGTATAAGATGTGGATTCAACAACAACAGTTGTTGCCACTTCAATAGCATTAATAAATGAAAATACACTCTCTAAAGAACACTAAGTTAAGAGCCAACAAAGCATTACATAGGGGTGGTTCAATATGGGATACCATACCGAAACTAGTATCCCGAATCCCAAACCAAAATTTTTCGGGACGGGAATTTGAAGACCAATCCCAAACCAAATTTTCCGGAATCCCAAATTTCGGGAATCCCGAAATATTTTCGAGATTTTGGGACAAATCGGGAATCCCAAATTGAAATATGAAATTATGAATTGTTCTTCAAATATATAATTCAAGAACACATTCATGAACTAGGAATTTCATTTCATTTACACTATCATTTAATTGAACACTGGTATGCCTGATTGTTTTTATCATAGTCAAAATTCAAATTAATTAAACCCTTTTTGCAATATGTTGAGAGACAAAAGAATCAAGCCTTCTAAAATCATCAGTCATGGCAGCAGCAATAATAAAATCCACATGAATATCAAACAAAACATGAAAAATATGCAAGGTGTAGGGCATTCCAAGTTGCAGAGCATGAATTAGAAACTACTAGCATCAATTATAAAAGAATAATATATATATAATAATTAATATTATATATTTTCGGTTCGGTATGGGATTCCCGAAATATCGAGAAGCCAATCCCGAATCCCATACCAAAATTTTGGGATCGGTTTGGGATAGCATCCCGAAAATTTCGGGAATTTCGGTTTGGGAAATTTTTGGTTTGGGATCGGGATTTTTTCAGTTCGGTTTGGAATTTTTGGGAATTTTTTCCACCCCTAGCATTACATCCTTTGAGAGTTGTCGATCACTCAACAATCTCGTTCAATCAGAACAGGTATATGATAATAAATAAAGTAACCATACCAGAAATACCGACACTGACATACATCAAACTACAACAAGAAATCCAAGAGTCTTAATAAGAGAGCAATTAGGACCAAGTGATCAATCCAAATCAATAGCATGATTTCATCGTATTTGATTTTAATAGATCAGAAGTTAGTCTTACGGCAGTCCATGGCTTGTACTTCTCCAAAAACCAAGGTATGATGGGGAGGAGGATCTTCTGCGAAGCAATCTGTTCCATACATAATGGCCATATCTTTTCAATTGTGTGGTTCAACCACAGCACCGTCTCAGAATCAGAAAGCACCTGAAGTATTCGAAAAAGGAATAAAACTCTAATGAAGTATTGTAATGTCATCTGAACATTAAGATTTAAATTTTTACTCCATGTCCAACAACATTTCTT